TTCCCATTAGTCCTCAGATGACCTGAGATAATGAGTTTCTGGAGTGGCACTATGCCTTTGTCCACAATCTGTCGTGTCCTTACACAACCATGTCATTAGCAAGAATGGACATGTACATTTCTTAAGCCAGACACGTGACCTTGTGGTTTTGACCTTGTTCCCTGATTGCTGTCGAGTGGCAGAGGGCCTTTAGACCACAAGTGTTTGTTTTAGAGCAGGTCAGCTCGTGTTTGGACCGAGTTCTGGTCAAGTGTGTCTGAGTATCGCCACTTCAGTAGAGGAAATGTGTGTTAAAGTATTCAGCACTCACCTTTTGTACTCTTTCCCAGTAATTGCCGATCTTTGTGAGCTGATTTTGAATTTAAGAGGAATTTAATAAACTATTTGTGTCATGTAGTCTTGAGGATATTGAGGTAAAGAGCTAAAGTGCATGTCAAGCTTTCAAATACTAGGAAGCAGGCTTCTAAAGAGAGTGTTTTTAGATTTAGATCTGATTTTTACTTATAACCTATGAGTATTACCTTTCTTTTTGACTTTTTGACTTAACTTTGACTTGACTTAAATGGATGAATATTTAATATTTTTCAAATCTAAACAGCATTATTTGCACACTGAATCTCCTATCACCTTGGTGTAAAGAGTAATATTGTGAAATATTATTACAGTTTATAACCGCAGTTTTTTTTATTAAATATATTTTCAAATGTAATTTATTCATGTGATGACAAAGCTGAAATTTAGTAGCCATTAATCAAATTTTCAGTGTCACATGATCCTTCAGAAATCATTCTAATATGCTGATTTGGTGCTCAAGAAGCGTTTCTTATTATTACCAATACAGTTGTACCGCGGTAATGAGATGCCGACCACGGTGTTGAGGTCATCACTGTCATCACCGTACTTTTTTTGCAAGGTATTTTGCAGGAGGAAGCTAGAGGTCTGCATCCCAGATCTACATGACCAGATTTCTTGCGATGCGGGATTAAATTCCCGAACAAAGCACGGTAGCGGTCAGTAACTCTTGTGTAATTTGAACCGGAGCGGGCGGTCTAAAGACCGGGACACACTAAGCCGACTTCAAAAACTAGCGGCGACGAAGGCCTACGGTGTTGTCGCCTCACGTCGGCAACGTCGGACCAAAAAGCTGCGCTCGTACACACCGCACAGACTACAGCCAACGGCAAACTAACACTTGCGTTCTGCGCATGTGTAAGAGGAATTAACTGTCTATATCAGCAGCTATACTATATTCGTCATTCAAAAGGAGAAACCGAAACAAAGATATACGAGATAAATGCAGATATACGAAACGTAAACAAAGCAGGGCTTGCTTACAATTTTGAATATCAGTAACGTTGATAACTTTAATCATTTTAAGCGGCTCATGTTGTTATGAAAACATTTGCGTATTAGAATGATTGGGAAAGATCACGAAACATTTAAACATCCGTCTGTCTATACCGCCTTCATTTACGGGCTTGTTTTCATCACTTTCGCTTTAATTCTCGGGCACTGACTCATTCGCTAAACTGAACATCCAATCAGTGCTCTCAACATGTTGAATCGGGCGAACTGCCGCCGACGTGAGCCCGATGAGTGGAACACACCAAACAAACTAGCCCGACCGTCGCCAATGGCCAACCGTCGGCTTGGTGTGTCCCAGCCTTAACAATATCCCGTTCCCGACGTCCTTTCAGATCTCTTTACTCACTCTTATTGACCACCAGTAGCCTGCACTCAGGACTGTTATGCTTGCGCTGCACGCACGGACCAGTGCTTTCTGCGTCATGTATTTTATTTGCGGGGTCTGTGCATGCAGCATGTGCATATGTACTGGTGGTAAATATACGGCCCTCTGACAGAACAGGCAGGTTGTCGATGAGTGACAGAGCAGAATAAGGATGGCAAAGCAAAGTGTGGATGCGCTGTCCTTGAAGGACGTTCAACTTGGACTGGAAAATGGTCAGTTTACTGCTAAGAAACCCACGTCAGGCAAGTCTGACTCGGGACATTCTTCTCAGGGATGTTAAATTGCTCGCTTAAAAAGTGATTTAATTTTGCAATGGCTACAAGCCAACGGTTTTGTTCATATTTTACTTATAATGTTAAATGACAAATGTTTGTTTAGTTTTTTTTCTCTGTGACACTTTTTCCTATTGTGTTGACAGCAAAATGTAAAACTAATTTGAGTTTTACAAGACGAATAAAATAACAAATATGGCGATAAGCCGCCAAACCGCATGATTTGTTGCTTCTTCACCGAGGTAAGAAAAAATCCCATACCGTCACAGCCCTATTATCAATTGAAAACAGTTGTGCTGATCAATATTTTTGAATAAACAACATTTAATCTAAATAGAAATGTAATGCATCTTTGCTGAATAGAAGTATTTATTTCTTTAAAAGGAAAAAAAACTTGCTGACCCTTAACTTTTGAATGTAATTGTATATTGACCAATATTGGATATTTTATTTTTTACTTTATTTAGACGGATTAGTATAGATTTATTTTTGTATAAAATTTATTATTTATCAATTATAAAAACAGTAGCATTTAAATAACGAAAAACAAAACCTAAAACCTGACTCCAGTCTGAAATTCTAGTAAAATTACAGTAAAATCATTGTTTTATCTCCATCTTTTTCATAGTAACAACAGCCATGTTTACCATATTTAGTGAATTATCTACCTTTTATGTCATCAATAATTATAATACATCATCATCAAGGAAACTAGAAAACGGCTCATTTGATTAGATAACTTTTTATATATAGCATTAGTAAGTGTTATAAATCAAACATCACCACACAAACCATGAACCTGTTGTTTTTATTATAGCCTTCATTAATAACTAGCCCATATCTCAGTCGGTGACTCCGACAGTGAGCATGGACATTGAATTAGCAATCCTAGGGCCAGAAGTAATTATAAAGCGGCTATTTTCTGACATCAAACATGACCAGTGTTATGCCTCTAATTTTGTTACCGCTAATAATACCGGTGTCAGTATTTAAAGCTACTCACTCCTTTTTATTTGCTGCCACCTGACATCTCGTCTCCAGTCGGTGTGTCAACACCAGGAACCAGCCACACATTTATCCTTAATGAGTATATCTGTCCAGTGTAGCGGAAAAAGAAAAGAAAAATGAAATTCACACTGGACACAATTATAATAAATGGATGCAAATGTATTATGGTGGGGAAAAAATACTTTCCTCTTCATCAGATAATATCTTTGACACCCCTGCAGTAGATTATTAATGATTAGATTTAATATCTGTTTTACTTCCTTCTTCCTGTCTGTATAAATATATCTTTTTCTTTCTCTCTGCCTGTTCCTGACCCCCACATTTTCATTGCTCTACTTGTTTGAAGTGTACGTCCATACGAGATATTTATTTTAATTCACATTTTCCTTCTGAGTGGGTATATACACGTATGATTACATTTCAACCTACGCACAACTCTTAATAACAGCCCATCCGTTTTGTTACTGGATTGTGTTCGTCAACATTATGAGCATTTTCCAGAATCAGTGAGGCATTATTATTTATTGAACATTAAAATAATGACGTGGCGTTTTCGTAGTGTCTGTTTACACTAAGTGCAAATAGCCCGCCTTGTTGGCAGAGGCTATTTACACTAACTCCACCCACCAATGTGTGATTGGGATAGTCAACACTGAAAAAAGACGCATGTTACACATCAGTTTCATGGTAAGGTGCGTGCTTTTTGACGGGATCGACCCGAGTTCGAACCCGTCTTTTGGCAAACTTTTTTTTCTCCCTTCTCAAATCTGATATCGCATCAGAAAGGCATTTATTTTCAATAAAAATGAAGGAAATAATCAAAAAGTTGAAAATAAAGTATTGGGTAGGGTTAAGTTAGATGTAGGGAGGGCTTTATTGTCCCAATAAGGTGGCATCCTTTTAATAATTTGAATTAAAATTATAATTTACACTCAATACGGTATTATTGCGTACTGTTTTATAATGTACGACAGTAGGTGCAGATAATTGCCGCTATTTGCAATTAGTAGAAAATATTACTATTTTAACAGCGTAAATAGAATCTATAACTATTTTCACTTAGTGTAAATAGCATATACTTAAAAAATACTGCTATTTTCACTTAGTGTAAATAGAATCCATCTATCGCAATTTACACTTAGTGCCTTAATGTTTTACTCAGAGTTTTGTCAAATTCACAGCATCGCAGTATACTGCAGTTTTGCTGTCAGTGAAATCTGCGATAAATGTGCCAATTGCTGCTTCATTTACAACTGTAAACTGTAACTACAGTCACTCTTGACATTTATGATTCGCCATTTGAGATCCAATCAGGTCTAGTGTCAGTCCCAGACGGCTTCTGTCACTGATTTGCCCAAATTTTCCAGGTCCATGACATTTCTTCAGTGTCTTTGTAAAGTTTACAGTGATGTCTGCTGTGTATGGCACATAAGTCAAGGACTGTCATAGATCAAAAAAAATGTGACAGCTATTTAATTGATTTATGCCAAATACTAACAGGACATATAATGTGTGTGGTTTTCCCAAAAAAATTGTAATAGCTTGCAGCATGTTTTAATTGTCATCAAAAATTAACAATGAAATCTCACAAGCAAAACATTAACCGTATCATATTTATTTCATGTTTTTAATGTCATCCACACAAAATTTTGCTTTATTTATTTCAGCTATTTTTTTTTATTAAAAGTAATTTCATATTTTACTTTATCTAATAGTTTTTGTTTGCAATTATAACCTTTCTTCAATATTCAAGACCTCAACTCCTCAGTTACTCATTTTTAGAACTTTCTCCATCTGTCAAAAAGGTTTTAAAGAGGTAAAAGAGAGCAAAGAGCAAAGGACCATCATCAGCTGACAGTTAATTTAACAGCATCAAGAAGTCTAACCTGTGGGTTGATTTCTTGAGCAAGACTTCTAAGTTGACCATGTTTCTTTCCTTTCAATCTCTTCTTCTCTTTCTCCTCTCTCAGGTCTCAGTCTCGTTCCCCCAGCCGCAGAGACAGACGAGCTCGCTCTTCAGACAGAAAGCGTGATGAGAGAGAGAAGGAGAGCTACGGCCCAAGCACCTACCGCCTTGGCAGCAACCCAGCACTGGGCAGGAAGCGTTCCAGATCAAGGTGGGGAGGCACTTAGGTCACATCAGGCTCAAAAACACAAACAAAAAAAAATATTTTAATTAAAAAGTATTATTTTCTAAATGTATTTTATACACTGTTTTAAAAGTTTGGGGGGGCGGTTTATTCAGTAAGAAATTACTTTAGCAAGGATGCATTAAATTGAAACGTAACATTAAAGACATGTATAATGTTACATTTAGATTTTTTGATTTCAAATAAATACTGTTCTTTTGTACTTTCTATTCATGAAAAAAAAAAAAAAGTATCATGGTTTCCACGAAAATATTAAGGAGCACAACTGTTTTCAACATGGATAATGCACTGATATAATAATAATAGTATAATAATAAGATTAACAATAATAAGAAATGTTTCTTGAGCACCAAATTAGAATATTGGCATGATTTCTGAAGGTTATGTGCCACTGAAGACTGGAGTAATGGCTGCTGAAAATTCAGTTTTGAAACAACTGTTTTCAACATGGATAATGCACTGATATAATAATAATAGTATAATAATAAGATTAACAATAATAAGAAATGTTTCTTGAGCACCAAATTAGAATATTGGCATGATTTCTGAAGGTTATGTGCCACTGAAGACTGGAGTAATGGCTGCTGAAAATTCAGTTTTGAAACACAGGAATAAATTACAGTGTGACACATATTGAAATAGAAAACAGTTATTTTAAATTGTAATTATATTTAACAATATTCCTGTTTTTACTGTTTTTGGTCAAATAAAAGCAGCTCGTGAGCATAGGAGACTAAAATACATTTTAGAAAAATGTACCAACCACAAACTTTTGAACAGTAGTGTACATATACAAAAATATGGCCTATATATATTTTATTTTATTTATTTATTTATGTTTAATTTACAGTGGCACACTGCTGTGAATACCAAATATAATGACAGCAGGAAGAACATGTGTTTGTATTAATGGCAGCTGTGATATGGCCTCATTTGAAACCCTCTAGCTGTATATCATCACAAGGAGCAGTTTGGCTGATTGTCAGCATGCATGCTGCTGTTCACAGTGGGTAAAAAGTGCTTTCCTAGAGTTTCCTCAGAGTCTGCAGCAGGCATGATCTTTTCATTCACTGTAATCCTTCTATTGAAGAGTCCTGTGAGACTGCTATCATCACACTACCCTCTCTCTCATTTCCTCTACCTTCCCATTATTTTCTTACCGACACCTATATGGTGCTAAAGCACCACAGAAAGAAACGGTCATGGTGACTTCTCAGATCTCACCCGGCTTTTATGTCATTGGTTTTTATCTGAGCAGCCCACTCTCTCCAGTGCTCTTTAAAGCTTAGCTGAGACATTTCTTCATATTCTGCTGCCGAGGAGGTTGCAAAGACTTTTTACACATCTCCTACAAAAGATAAAAAGTTCAGCATCTTTCATTACACCCTCAAACCTTTCTGGTTTGAACTGAGGGAAGAATTGAGATGGAGAGATGGATGGTTGGATCACTTACAGGGTTTTAGTGAGGTTTGGTTTGTTAGAGTGATGATAGAAGCGTCTCAGATGCAGAACCTCGCTTACATGCAAGCAGAGGAAGATTGAATGCCTGTCTTGGACTAGGCAGCAGCTGTTGTCTTGGAAATATAGCATAACGGTTGGATTACGGAAGTAAAATATAATTTATTCTCTCCATAGGAAGATATATTTTTACAAAATATGTAGCCTAAATCTTTCAAGACAGACCAGCCACGAGCTCTGAGGTTAAGCGATGGTATGTGCTTCTGTAGAAACCATAAGTCACAGCGAGTCACTGCTTCACATTTAAAAAAAGAAATGTTTTATAGCCTAATTCTTTGTAATAACTACACTACCCATGATTCTAAAGATTCATTATTCAGAAAAAATCATAATCCTATCCATTTGTATATTCATTCATTTGTTATACTTTTAAATGCTTTAGAATTTATTATTAACTTGTAATCATATATGTGTATATATTGCATATAAAATTATTAAGTTATTACTGTTTAAAAATGTATAAAAAGTCATATAATTAATGACTAGAATAATATAAAAATTATTAGAATAATATTTACATGATGTATTAAGTTTATCAAATAAAATATTAGTAATACATAATATACATACAAATATATATATATATATATATATACAGATATGATTTATAATATTATAAATTATCTGTTATGATTGTCATTCACAGTGGTTTATGAAATGAGTAGTTTATTCCCTCATAAAATATGTTAAGTACACAGTGTTTAACCTTTTCCTTTTTTATGATTTTTATTTTTGGTTTAAACTCAAAAGTTTCTGCTTTTCTGATTCATCTCAGAGCTGAATGGCTTTGTTCTTTACTTTTATTAAAGTTTTTTTTTATTTATTTTTTTATCCGTTTTGAAAAAATTAATGGGGAAAAATACATTCGGAAGTCTCTGTTGATCTCCATACCGCTCTCCTGTCCAATAAGCTATAAGATAATCTTAATCATGCCAATCAGACAGGGTAAGTGAGAGGCCTCATGTGTTTCTGTCTTTTTGGATAAACTTAGATCTATTTTCCTGTACTGATTCAATTAGTCATAATAGTTTATGCCTCGGGTGGAATTCTTGGCACGTCTGCAGCAGCGCATTTTTAACCTCATTGTGTCTCCTAGGACTGCTTTGATCCACTCTCCAAATATGTCTTGTCATTTTGCTACAGTGCCACAGGTAATTAGAGGTCACTATGCCCATTTACTGAAGGTGGGTGCTCCTTTATAAATGTATTTTTCCAACTAAAGGACATGCCTAAGGTATTCAAATAAAATATTCATAAAGGACAGCCTGGGAGATAAAGGCCCCTTGATATGGACTGTGTATGTGCTTTTTCTCTGGAGAGAGCGCACACGCTGTGACTGTTATGTGCGATTGGCCTATTCCAGTCACCTCGCTGATGCAGTGCTGGATCAGGGGTCTTGCTGAAGGGTCGTGTGAATGTTTTAAGACCCCACAGTGTTACCTCCTGTCAAACAGTAACTCTCACTTCACTGCTACATCCACAGAGCTGCAAAAATCAATGCTTGTTTAGCTCATAAAATAGTTAGTGAAAAGTGAAATACTTTATATTTTGTATTATGTATTGTTATTCTAAACCTATGACTTTCCATCTTCTGTAGATCAAAGAAAGAAGAATTTTGTGAATGTCAATGAATTCAAAAGAATTTTTCCAATCTAACAAAAGCATATAGTGGCATCAAAAAAGCAAAAAAACTTTTTGCAAAATTCCAGTCTGTGCGCAATATTCCAAATCTTCTAAAGCTATACAATATACAATAACAATTTTATTTATATAGTAAATTTGATACAGAGTGGTAATTTACATAAAAGTTCTTTTAAAAAATAGTAAACATAAAAAAAGTTTGAAGAAATAATTGAAGAAAATAATAGACTTATTTAAAAATGAAGGCAGACATGCTGGTATTAACCTAAAATGTTCCCCTCTCAAACTGTATTTGCCTTTTGATGCAAAACATGCATTAAATACAAATGACTCACTGTATATGCATTCGAATAGTGGTGTATGTGTGGGAATTTGAATTGAATTAGTCAGACAATACAGGAAGCTGATGTGGAATTTAAAAAAAAATAACTAATTTTATCCATCCATCCATTTATAGGTTTATTCTGAATTGTGCTCAAACCTGGTGGGTGGTGATGTGCAAAATTCCCCAACCCAGACCCTGATTTAGTCTGTTTTAGTCACAGTCTCTGTACACTATTTAATGTCATCCATGTAATTGTGTGGTTTCACTTCCCCAAAACTACTTTAATAATGATTTCACCCCATGAAGTATAACAGCAAACCCTTCCCTCTAGAGGCACGTTGGTCCTTGCCTGCGTTGTTTGTGTTTTTCTTGACCACTTGTTTGTTTAATGATTAATTCTGCAGGGGCTTTATTGGAAATTCAGGGTTAATAACTTTCCTTCGACTGGACGAGGGGATGGAAGGCAGCGGTGACTTTAATTCTGCAAACAATTAAGTATAACATCTTATCTGTCTTCAGTGGGGGAAAAATGTACTTGTTCACATGGATGCATAATTCTTTTTTAAAAATGATGTTTTCTCAGCCTCACATGCTCAGGGCCTGTCATATTAGAAATAATGATATAATTTTATAATCAACATATCAATTTTTAATTATCACATTGATAAATAATCAGGTTAGACGCCATATTGAGTTTAACACGGATGAAAACGAAGCTTTGAGGTAGCCTATCCACCTTTTTCCTAACACTGCGTTGTAAATTATGGGAGGCACTTCTGGTTTGGGGAAGTTCCACTCAAAATGACTGCAACAAATTATTTCAAATCACAAGATTGCGCTACAAATAATCCTTATCAGTTATTTTGACTGAATGGGCTGTAAATTTGAATTTATTTTCTATTTTCAGAAGTAAGGAGAATAGCATTACGTTTGGTAGGCTATATTAATGTGGCGTGATATAACAACAATGTCTATAGAATAGCTCTTTTCAGCCCGCTGTATTATTTTCCTCCTAATTATTTTCATGTTTTCTTCCGCTGCAAGTAAATGAAAAAAGACAACATATACTGTGCATTTGTGGTCTGCTCTCCTGATTTAATTTACGATATAAACCATGAATAATTCCCTGGAATGCACTAAGAATCTTTCATTTTTCTCCCCAAATCATCCTCATGTCTCTTTCCAGGTTTGTTTTCACACGGATGCAAATGTAATTGTTACATATTAATGAAATTTAACATGTCCATAATATTGCTGCAGATAGAAGGAGGCTCTTTATGAGTTATTCATGGTATGTTGAAGGTAATGTTAATGCTTTTACATTTTTTAATTTCCTTTTAATGATCAATGGTTGAAGTTTTTGAAAATGCGTATTATTGCATTCATAGAACAAACCTTTTGCTGATTGTTTTACAGTGTAAACGGAAGTTACTCCCATAATTTGCACAAAGCGTCATGGGAAAAAGGTGGATAGGCTTATGGCACGCACGTTATAAGCG